TGTTGTTGCTAGTTGTTTGAAGATGTGCCATTCTCACTGGGGTGAGGTGGTATCTCATTGTGGTTTTAATTTGCATCTCCCTTATTATGAGTGACGTTGAACATTTTTTCACATGTTTGCACAATGCTACTATTTTAATCCAAGCAAGCATCATCTCTCGTGGATTACTTTAATAGTGTCCTAACAGGTCTTTTTCCTGCCTTTGCCCACTGCAGCGTATTCTCAGCATAGATTATGAGTTTCCAAATAGCATTTATTGACTCCCCATTCACCCTGATCTGAAAAGTTAGAGCTACAGACTTTTCAGTGGTCTACAGAAGTCCATCAGACCAGCCCTTCATCTCCCACATTTATTGTATTCTCGTCCTCTTGTCCTTCCTCACTCTACTGAAAATCTAAAGGTTCTTGATGGTCACCAACCAAGCTCTGGGCTAGAGGTTTAACTACCTGGTTTCTGTGAGTGAATTTGATCCCCTATGTCCATATTTACCTTTTGTGAGTTTTTTCCTAACTGTTATCTTCCATCAAGGCATCACAATGGTCATCCCATAAAGTACTGCTCATTGTTGCCTTAAGTGCCACACACATATCCCAAGGATTCTTAATCCTCCTTATACTGTTCTAATTTTGTCCTTAATCAATAGCATTTTCACTATAAGTTACTTAAAGAAGAATGAAGTTTCATTTTCACATAAGTTACTTAAAGGAAATACCTGTAAATAATTGTCAAATTAATTAAATAATTAATGAACTAATTTACTCTATTTCCAGTGGGGATTTACATCATGTAGCTACTTCCCAAGAAACAAAATCTGAATGCAAAGCTTTACACATTATTTTCCTATTACTTCTAGGTGTTTTTGATGTGGTTTGTATGACAACAGAGCACTATCAAGGAGGCATGAAGCATAAATATCAAGTAAGACAGTGTATGGAGCCAAATCCTGATCAAACACAGTACCATGAAGAGAAAATTATTTATATTGCAGCTGAAGAAATAATATGGGATTATTCTCCTAGCAGAAAGTGGGAGAAAGAACTGAAACACTTACAAGGAAAGAAGTATGGCAATAACTTTCATCTCTAAGTGGGAAGTATTAATTCTATAGTCCTCCACCTTTTCCTTTCAGTAGAGTACATAGGGGACAAGAAGGAGTTCTTTATCATATAGGGGTATGATATGCATGTGTTTTACGTATTTACGTGTATGGTACAGATATATATGAATGTGTATGGTATGTATTTATCTGTTTTATTATGATATGTGTATGTTACACAAATGTGTGATATATTCAATCATACACACTTCAGATCATTTAAATAGCAACATAATTTCTGTTTCTTACTGTCACCTAAGTTCTTGGAGCCTATCTTCTTTATGTGTGATATCCTATAGTCTTAGCCCTTGTACATCTAATAAATATAACTCAACCGCATTTGACATGTGGGATCAACCAGGTTTTCCTGATGTATTGTTTTTGTCTCTTCTTCTGGGAATCTCAACTTGAGGATGCTATTTTTTTTTTTCACTTTTTATAGATACAAGTTTCTTTCTCTAATTTTCACTTATTTTAATTAAGTTGCATAACTAAAATTTCACCCTAAAACATGTTTTAAAGTACAAGTGAATACCAAACAATCTTACCAAAATTAATATTGTTTGCCAAGAAAATATTTTATAAGGAAATAGCCTCTAGATTGATTGTATTATTTCATTAAGTTTTGCATATGAGAAGTTCTGTAATGATTAAGTGAACTTGTGTGTTTTTGCCTTTGTTTTCTTAAAGTGAAACAGGCATATATGCAGATAGAGTTGGGGCATACCTTGGGTCCAAATATAAGAAAGTTGTATATCGCCAGTATTATGACATTACATTCATGAATCAAACAAAAAGAAAGGAAGATGAAAAACATCTGGATCTATTAGGTATTGATATTTTATATGACTTGTTTTGGGAGTTTTCTTATTCTTAATCTCAGAAATTTCTATACACATAAGGGTATTTTCAACCTCCACCTTGAATGAACAATGTGTGATTCTAAATCTAATTTGTTTGTTGATAGACACTTTTACTAGGAAAAGAAAATTAATTCAAGTTTTGTGTAATGACATATAAAGAAACTACTGAATATTAATATGGTCAGTTTCAGATTGCCAGATTTCTTACCCTCCGAATCCAAGAATTATAGAAGGATCTTAGAAGTAGCAGTTAGAGATTATTTCACTGAAGGTAAAAAGATGCTCAGAAACCATACCATAGCGAGGAGGGAGAATTCTTTGTTTAAGTGTAAGTGTTTAACTCAAAACAGTGTTAAGATTTAATTTCATCATCTATGCAAAATTGAAGATAATGTCTTTTTCTACCCTTGACAGATCAGTTAGAAAGTCTAGAATTGCCCAAACACCAACATGCATTATTCCATAAGTCACAAAGCATTTCATCAGTCACATAATATTTTTAGATGCTCAAATTTTCTTTGGATCCTATTATCTGTGTGTCTATTGGAAGTCATTTTCTTATGGGGAACACTGACCAGATGGATTTACAGGCTAATGAGAGAGAACTTTTGCCTTTCATGGCTCTTCTAAGTTTGTCCCCAGAAAGAACACTGTGCTTCCCAAATATCACTGTCACTAGGAGGTCCCCTGTTTTTAGTAAAAACAGGCTGGTTTTTTGTTTTTTTAAAATTCTGTCTGAATATAATAGAATAAATAACACAATATAACACTTTAGATTCTATTGTTAATCCTACCTAAAAGAAAATTCATTTATGCTAAAGAACAGTTTTTGAGAAGGTAGATGCCCAAGGGAGCAAAAAGGCACTGTTCTTTAGCTAGTAATATCTGCCAGGAATTGTCAAGGCCTGATTTTAGTAATCGCAGCACATAACGAAGGAAAGTGTTTACTGTTTCATCTTAAAATCATCTCTGGCAGAATTTTGAGAAATCTTCTTTCAAATAGGATTTTGAAACAAATTTTATCCCAGTTCTTGGCCTGGGACAAAAAGAGAGAGTAATGTGAAAGTGTCTTCATTTTGTAAGAGAAAATCCTTCTGGGTCAATAAAATGGGTTTGCAGCTCTGTTAATCCCCCACTCAGTAGAAGGGTAAGAAAACAAAGGACAGAAATGGTGACAGTAATCAAGAAGGAAAATAAAGCTTTCAATTTCTAAAGGGTGTATTCTCATAGATATTCACTGATGTGAATCACTGTATACTTCCTAAAGATGGAGCTTATAAAAACTCTAGATTACTTAAAATTTCCAGACAAAACTATGTTTTATAAATTATCAATGGTTTACTTGTTAATGTGCTTATATTTCTTTTGGCTATATGTTTAGGAAAAGGATAAGAATAAGTCACCGACTAAATACTGAAGAAGACAAATGACTCAGAATTTAAAATATATAACAATTATTCATGCTTTTCCTTTTTATATATTCTCTAGGTCCTTTAATATTTCTCAACCCTGGTCAAAAACTTAAAATTATCTTTAAAAATAAAGCCTCAAGACCATATTCTATTCATGCACATGGAGTGAAAACAAATTATTCAACTGTTATTCCAACACTTCCAGGTAAATGCATTTGGAAGGAGAAAAAATTCCAAAGATTTTATGTAAGATTATAGGGTTAGTGTTCTTTTTTAAGTATAGGAGTAATTCCAGTTAAGCAAGATAATGCACTATAGTAAGAACCACTTGAAAAAATAGTTTGGGAGAGGAGTTCCTTTTGCAAGTATGTGTTTGTTGCCTGGTGGGACACCATCGGCAAAACGCCCCCATGTTAACAATTTCTTTTCTTGGGCAGCCACTCTATCTGATCAACTGCCAGATACTTTTATGCTGTGTTTAATCTATCCAATTCACATGCTACAATAAGTATTGGGTCCAAGAGGCAGTGTGTGAGGGAGAGGGTAGAGTGTGAGTTGAATCTCTAAGTATTAATGACACATCTCAAGTATTGACATTTCTTTGTCATTGCCTCTGTCTACATATAATTCAGCATATTCAACCCAGAAGAAAATAAGAAGATTTTAATATATAAATATATAAATCCAAAGGAAGCAGACTTTGAGATAAAAATTTACATGTAGGTACTGTTCTCAGTGTCACAATAAAAAAGGAAAAAGAAGCAGAATTGGGAATGGGGGAAAGTTTAACAAAGATGCACTCTCAATGGACAGCACAGTCAACTCTAGAACTACGGTGACCCTTAGCTGTCCTGAGTTAGAGAGTTGAACATTATGTCCCTGCATTGGTCATTGGGTGCAGGGATGGGTGATATGGCTCTAAAAGTAGTTAAACCCTGGCCGAGAAATTATTCTTCACTGTTAAAGGGGTTTTGAGAAGACATCCAGAATGTCCATTACAGATCTCACCGAACAAGTTGTTCTGTAAGTTAAGGGTACTAAGGAAAGCCAAACTCAGAAACATCTGTGGAGCAGAGAGTGAAGATAGACCTTGCAGATGGATGAAATACTATGATTTTAAAAATAGTAGTCCTAAGGTGGTACCAATGAAACTCCTGCAAGAAAATTCGATTTGTAAGTCAGCACCCTTGTTCTGAATAGTCAAGAAAGGAGCACTTACATGCATTTCTCACACATGTGTGACTATAAGAAGCCCACACAAATATCTTTGATAGGTTCTTGAAACTAACTTTATGTAAACAGATATATATTGAAACTTATTTTACCATAAACAAATTGATATAAAGAATAGTTAAATACCCATAGCATATGTCAGATCAAAAAAATAGCACATGACTTCTAAATACTCAAATACTTGTAATATTAGACAATAATTTTTATTCATTTGTTCATTTTCCAACTCACTTATTCCAATTCAAAAGATCAAATGTCTGGAACATGTTCTGGCAGCTAAGGTCAAGGGGGAACCCAACCTGGACAAGATACTCTTCTATGGCATGGGGTGCCACACCCACCCACACTCACTGGAACAATTGAGACACACAGTGGACATCTTTGGGATGTAGTGGGAAACCACAGTACCCAGAGAAAATCCACACCTGAGAGAACACAAAAACTCTACATGTACAGTGGTCCTGGCTCAGAAACTTTCTTTTTCCTCATACTGCTATAAGGAAAGGATTTTATATAAAGATCTGTTGGATCTGTTGTGCCCTGGGCACTATGTGAAGTGCTAAAGAAGGTTTGCTCTCTGTAGATTATTAAAGATTTATAAGCAAGGAGATGGAGGTGATTAGTGGTGGTTTTAAAAAGAAAAATTAAATTAAGTCTGTGGAAGTGGATAACACAGGAATATGCAATGTTCATGTGGGATAGGAGAGGGCATGCTCCAAAAGAATTTTCCTGTAACAAGAAAGCATAGAGGATTTGGATTCAATAGGGGTAATATAAAGAGCTTTGGGGACAGATAGGAGACACATGTGGCCTACAAGTCAGAAGGGTCAGAAATGGAATTCAAAACACATATATCACTTTTCAAAATCAATAAATATTTGTTGAACAAATGAATTATATAGCTAATGGTTGACATTTTTCTATGACAGATTCACTATTGGGTTTTCATCTAGTAACCTTAAGAACATAATAACGAATATTGATAGTGAGATCATCTTTCATTCATACCATCTCATCTAATCCCTAGCTCCCCATTTTATGTGCATGTGCAAATGGAAGTTCAAAAAAGGTAAAACACATTGATTAAGATAAAAAGGTTATGAGTAGTACAGCCAGAAATGAAAGTTATGATATGCTGTTTAATATGTGCATAGCTGGTTCACTATAAAGATGTGTAACTTAAAAGTTTCTATTTTAAGTATATTATAATTTCCAATTTTAGGAGAGATACAAACATATATTTGGCAGATTCCTGAAAGAACTGGTCCTACCTCAATGGACTTTGAGTGCATACCTTGGTTTTACTATTCTACTGTGGATGTAATTAAGGTAAACATTCAAATTAAAAGTCCTTCTATTATCACCTACTAGAAATTATAATAGAAAATTTATTTTTTAAGTAATCTTAGCACTAGGTAAAATTTCTATTAATAACCTAAATTGTGCTCAGTTTTTATTCCTTTACTGGTTTTCATTTTTTGCAAGAAAAATAAAATACTACATTATGGTTACTTAGATTTATGTTATTTTCCAACATGCTACTGTGAATTGGAAAATTTGCATTATTACATGATAATAGCCTCATCTTTATTTCATTGAACAGTATTTCGATTGCAGGAGACAAAATACTTTCATCCCTGGATCTACAGAAGATTGGTTTCAGAACTTCCTATTCTGGAAAATCCAAAATTCACCTTTGCTCAAGTCTCTTATGTAAAACATCATAGTGTTTGCATATGAAAGACATGTATTACATACGTGAATTTCAATTAATAATAGTGTCTTCAATATGTTATACCATATAACCAAGATGTGTAGAAGGCTATACCATCTAAGTTTCTGTAATTACATTCTAAGATGGTCAAATGATAATGAAAACATCTAGTAACAAACTTATTTATCATTGATCAGCTCATAATTAACCAATATACATGATCCCATATAGCTGAAATCATTTCTAGATTACTTACAATACCTAATATGTGAGTAGTTTTCCTACTGGACAAGGACAGTTCTGTAAATGTATAGAGACAAACATCTTAACCTCACTACAAAATATATATTTTCAGTCAGGACATTTAAATATGTACAACTGACTATACAGAGTTTAAAATTTCCATTATAAATAAGAAATTTATGCAAACATATTTTATATTATATAGAGATAGATTTTTAACTGTTATATAAATAAATATATATATATATATATTTATTTATTTATTTATGTTTTAACTGTTAAGTCTGAGGTTCCATCATTCAACAACAACAAAAGTTCCCTCTGAACTTTCAGTTATTTTGGCCCACTCTGCCTGGAACAAGAATCTACACAGACATTCAACTCCCAAATTTAGTGTAAACAAACAAGGTTCCCAACTAAAAGTTAAAAGTGGCTGCAAGGGCAGAGATATCTCAGGGGAAGTGACCTGAGGCCTTTAGAGTTCTCTGCCAACCAACAGCTACAGAGAATTCTAATTATAGCCAGTTATGTTTTTTAATTCAAAAACAGAGCTTCCTTTACTGAGGAAACTATCTAAAATCCATTTCAGGAGTTTATTGTTCTCTTTAGACTTCAACTCGAAAGAATGAGATGACAATTTTTCTTCAGTCAAGGATGTAACATGTAAAACAATGTGTGACTTACTCTTAGAATCCTTGTAGTTAATTAAAACCTCAGGATTTGATAAGACTTTATTCCACCCATTTTATTGATTCAGGAAAATGTTCACTTGTGGCACAGGTAGTCACCTTGCTTTGCTTCCTCAGGACCTTAACAGTGGGCTGGTAGGCCCCTTAATTGTGTGTCACAAAAAAACCAAAGCCAGCATAGTTCACCGTGTTCTCCACTTCATGATTTTTAATGAGAATGAATCATGGTACTTTGATGAAAACATCAAAACCTATTCTCCAGAACCAAACCACGTGGACAAGAATGATGATAATTTTCAGCTGAGCAACAAAATGCATGGTAATATCCACTAATTAATTCACCAACTATAATCTATGGGATATTTCACACAAAGGGAGCATTTGGAGGTTCACATATGTTAAGTTCAGCATTTTCACCTACAGCTATGGTATACATAGCATGTGCCAAGTGCTGGCAAACTTTTTCCATAAAAGACCTGATAATAAAGAATTTATACTTGTAAATCATATGATCTCTGCCATAAGCTATAATTGATATGCTCCTGTGGCACAAAAGAATCCAAAGATAAGATGCAAACAAAAGGAAGTGAGTGAGATTCTAAAACGTAACTTATAGACCTTGAACTGTGTATGTGAAATACACAGAGTCTGCTCTAGCTTTTTATATGTAAGTCCTTTCCACTATTCTGGCTATTACTTGATGGTAAGCAAATAAATACTGAGGTCTTGAAGGATTTGGGTTGGTAGTAGAGCCTCCACTGAAGCACTTACAGGCCTATTTCTGGTGGTTGGAATTTTACTGACCACCCCTGATATAGTATGAGGCCCTATGGGACCTGGGTTGGGAAAATGTCTGCTCCCACAGCACTGTTGGCTGAGCTTTGAATGGGGTTCACTTCCCAGATGGAACCTCAGTGAATGGTAGGTTCTGAAAATCCAGGACTGTGTTGTGTTTCTGTGCTGTCTATAGATTGATGATTGCTGTCTTTCTGATATATTGATTCCTTAATCATTAATAGTAGCCATGTCTTATATCCTGTTAACCATTTTTAGCTGGAGGTCCAGTTTATCAGATCTAAGTATGGTTATCCATACTTTTTTCTGGGCCCCATTTGCTTCTAGGGTTTCTTCTCAACTGCCGCGTCCGGCTAATCGGAGCCGAGTCCGGCGAGGGACGATGAGGTTAAAGAAAACACAGGACACCGAGGTTCTTCATCCAGGAGTCTCTCTCTTTATTGTCCGTGACCCCCTTTATATATCATTAGGCAGTAAGGGTGGGAGTTTGGAGGAGAAGAGTGGAAATTTACTGAGAAGGAGGTATGGGGGAAGTGAGGAATTTCTCTTATCACACCTCGGCGGCAACTGCCAGACGCCTGCACTCCCTATGGCGCAGGTGTGGGCACTCCCTCACGGCCTTTATGGCGCCTCAGGCTGTTAGATAGGATGACCACAAATCTGCCCACCTTATCGGTTCAACCATCTGTTGCCATGGTAGCACAGCGGTGGGCGCATTCCTCGGAGTCCCAAGAGCTGGGTGCAACCGAGCCACCAACACTCAACCTTTACTTTGAGTCTGTTTCTGTTTAGAGCTAATGTTAGTACCTGGAAACAGTAAAAGTTAGGTTTTGGTTTTTGATCCAATGGCCACTTTGTCACTGATAAATTTTACCACATACATTTAGGATGCCTTTTGCTGTGTAAGTATTTGTTTTGCCTTTTTTTTTTTTTCATTAATGTCTTGTTCTATCCATTTCCTTGTTCAGTTTTTTGTGGATTTTTTTCTCTTTGATTTATATAGGAGAACCCATTTCTATGCTTCTCTTATCCATCTTTCATTTATGTAGAAGACCTTTATTTCTCCTCACTTCCGAAGGACACTCTTACCGTTTATATATTTTTGGCTAGCAATTCTCATCCTTAAGTTTTTTTTTAATATGTCACTTCATTCTTCCTTTACCTGCAATATTTCCTCAAAGAAGCCTAATGTCAGTTAAAAGGATTCCTTTATAGGCTACCTATTACTTTTCTCTAGCTACTTTCATTATCTTTCTTTGTCTTGAACTCTTGGTTTGTCCCCAACTATGTGTCTTGGTATACGTCTTTTACATTTAGATTATCAGGTATCCTTTTAACTTCATGCTCTTGCATATTTAGTTTGTGACCAGGTTTGGGAAGCCCTCTTCTATTATTATTATTATTGTTGTTGTTATTATTATTATTTTATCAAGTTCTCTGTTCTCATCTCTCACTTTGCCTTGCTGGAATATATATTATCCTTATGTTGCCTTCCATACAATTAGGTAGAAGAGTGTTTCTTCACTGTTTTACTTCAAATTTTGTTTTGTTTTGCCATCTATGTCCCTTTGTTCATCATGATCCTCAAGGTCACTAATTTGGTCCTCCATTTGGTCCTATCTGCTTCCATAACTTTATGCAGAATTTTCATCTCCTGCAACTCTTTATTTTCTTGTTTAAATTTTCAATTTGTTTCATTAAATATATCTCAGACCTTTTGTTTTTCCTGAATTTCCCCCTTTTATTCCACTTTTTAAATGTCTTTATCAAGGCAACTTTGAACTCTCTGTCTAGTAGGAAGATAAGAGCATCCATATTTCTGTGGTTGAATTGTTTCCTCCTTTGTGATGGCATACTTATTTAAGGTCTCAAAGTAGTGTGTGTTTGGGGCTTTTTGTACTGCCATTTTGCTGTCTTTAATTTTTTCCTTATGAGTTCAATTTCTCCTGCAGAATCAAATTGGAAGCTTCAGGGTAAACCCAATCCTGACTCCACACACTAACTACCAACAATCATGATTCCCTTTATTCTCAGACTCCACTCATTGTGTTTTCTTATACATTTTGACTATATACTTTGGGTCCTGTCTTCAATCACACAGAGTTGGGTGTGTACGTAAGCTTTCTAAAGCCCTTATTTAGGAATTCCCTGATAAAAAGAGCAATACATGATATTTCCAGAATCCCTGAGCTCTTCTACTGTTCTGCAAAGAAGGCACTAGTTCCAGGCCTGTAATTTTATTGTCTTACCAAGGCTCATAAAAACCATACTGGCAAGGATGAGTGAGGCCATTTGCAATATCTTTCTATTTATTTTAGGTGTGGCCTCCAGTCCATCCAGTCCATCCAGAACTTGGGGACTTAGTAGTTGTGTACTCAGTCTGTCCAAAGCCCTTGGTCTAGAAGTCTTCTTACAAAAAAAGCTACACTCAATATGCAAGAAGAAGATACACTTTCCATACACTTTCCCTACACAGTCTAGAAAAACAGGTACCAGAAATAGTATCAGTTCAGATTTGTGCATTGCTTGACATCCTAAAGTGGACACAAAAATATGCTGGACAGACTAACTTTAATGTGGACATTTGCAGTTTCTTTCTATACATTCTCACTAAGAAGTTAGCACTTTCCTTCTTAGGCCAAGGCCAAGACAGAGCCTAGGGGAAGTGATGGCGGAAGGGTAGGTTTCCCTGTGAACTGGCACATTCATGATATAAATGGTTTCTAGCTCTTCTTGCTTAAATTCTGGTCCTCAAATCTCCAGCTCCATTCCAAATGTGGCTGCTCTCTCCAGGCTCCTATCCTCATTATTCTTGAAGGAAGTGATGATTCAAGCATACTGTTCATCCACCATCTTCCTGAAATTTTTCATCCAGTCTCCTTTAGAAAACTTACCTTTGGAGGATTTGAAGAAAGGAGAGATAAGAGATTTGGGCCTCAGGCAAATGACCATCCCATTCATACCAGTGACAGATCATGAAGGACTAATTTAGGGCAGTTAATTAGAAATACCTACTCTTAATATTTTAATCATCTTTGGTAATTTCAAATATATTAATACATATGTATATTTACATATTTATGTATTCACCAAAGTAAAGTAAGTATCCTAAATTATAAAATCATGTAGTGGAATTCAATTATATTAAAGCAAAATTATTGCCTTATTTCCTTAGGCAAGAAAAATTCTGGAATTAGACACCTCCATGAATGAAGGCTTGATTCATTGAATGACTTCCTTAAAGATTCTTTGTGAGACCTGAAATCATCCATGATACTTTCTATACAATTATTTCATGTCATTGTGGAATGTAATAAACTGTTCCCTCCACTTCACCCCACAGCAATTAATGGAAGAATATTTGGAAATAACCAAGGTCTGGTGTTACATGTTGGAGATGAAGTGAATTGGTATCTTATTGGCATGGGGAGTGCAAGTGACTTGCATACAGTTCATTTTCATGGCCACAGCTTTGAATACAGGGTAAGACCCCTGGGAATCTCTGTTTAATTAATGTGGTACATTGTAAGCAAGTTATGAGAACAATACAGTAAGATTACAGCATGGGAAGAGAAATGACCAAGCAGGACCTAAAGTTGAATGAATACTATCTATAATCTATCAGGCACAAGTAAATAATTAGACATTTAATCTTTTGTATCCTATTGACATTCACCAAATGCTTGTGAGTGAAGTACATTTCTTACTCTAATCTGATGCTACTCAATAAGACTTCTATAATCATCTTTAGTTTCACACTTTTTTTTTTAAAGGTAAAAATTGGTTTTATAGTGTTTATTGAGATAATATTGATTTATAGCATTGTATGTATTTTAAGGTATAGGTTCATATATTCACAAATATGTTATATCACCTTGCCCACCACCAATCACCAATAATCTTCCACCTCAGTCCACTGGCCACCTCATTCTTTCGCTTCATCTCCCCACACTCCCCTTCTGATAGCCTGATTATACATTTAGATTTCCTTTTTTTTCAAGATTTCTCTTAATGCATACAAGAACCAGGGTACAGGCCAGAGGTATGGGGAATCAGTGGATTCACAAGAGAACAGGCAAGTCTACTGAAATATGCGGCTGAGGCGAGCAGCAGAAGAGACAGGCAGGTCTGCTGTGCCATGAGAGGACACTCCCTGGCTAGAAATCAAACTCATGCTGCAGTGGTTATCAAAGTTTCATATTGTTGAATCTTTACCCCTCAGCCACTAGGGAGGCCCATAGACAGTTAGACTTCTAAGAATTGGTTTGGATTTTGCTTTTCCTTAGCTTAATTTTTTATATCCACATATGAGTAATATCATTCCGTATTTTCCTTTCCCTTATGACACATTTTGCTTAGTATAATCTCCTTCAATTTCATCCATGTTGCAAATGGCAAAATTACATGTAAACTTTTATGAGTGAGTAGTAATTTGTCATTTATATAAGCTTGTCTTTATCCACTCACTTGTCTTTGGGTGCTTAGTTTGTTTCCATATTATTATTTTATTATTCTATTATGGTTTATTATTTTAAAATGTATGGCAAAGGGTACATATATCCCTTTGAATTTGTATTTTTATATTTTTCAGGGAGACACATAAGAGAAGGATTGCTTCATCATATAGTAGATCTATTCTTACATTTTCTTTTTTTTTTTTTTAAGATTTACTTATTTATGCATCCAGAACTGGGGTACAAGCCAGAGTTGCAGTGGT